TATTGTTCAGCCCGGCTCCCTACCTTTGTGCATGCCCGTGTACTTATCCTTGATCACCGTCAGCTCGTAGATTTTCCCGAACTGCTCGAAGATGGGCTTCAGGTCCTTCTCCTCCAGGTTCCGTGGGATCTGCCCGATGAAAAGTTTAATGGCATCGGGTTCCTTCATTGGGCCCAGGGGGCGAATTTGGGGGGCGCGCTTGGAATCCCCGACCCGGCCCCAGCGAGCGCCGCACCCCACGGCGAGGTCTCCCCGACACGTCCCAGCGGCGAAACAAACAAAGGAACGGGAGGCGGGTGGGTTTGGAGGGTGGCAAGAGCCCCCCAAATCTTGGCGTCGATTTTTTTTTTCCCTCGGCGGAGCTTCCTCGCTGTCTCCTCCTCCATTTTTTTCACCTCCCTCGGCTGCTGCTTTTTTTTTATTATTATTATTAAAAAAAATTAAAATCCCGATGCAAAAAAAATTATTAAAAAAAACCCCAATTAGAAAGAATCTCACAATTCCGCCTCCTTGGAAGCAGGAGAGCTGTTCGCGATGCCAGAGCCCCGGCGCTAATACTTTTGATCTATTAATTACAGAGCTTGCAAAGCAGTTAATTAGTTTATTGATTAACTTTCCTTGAAGAGGTTGAGACCAGTTTAAAGTCTTGGGTGGTGGTTGGGTTTTTTTAAAAAAAAATTATCGATTCATTTCTTTCTCCTCCTTCCCCCCCACCCCTTTTCCAAGCTGGATTTCAGCTGCTTTTGCTGGATTTCTCCCTTTAATGGATCTTGAGCTCTGATTCAAATCTTTTCTTTACCAACAAAAACCTCCTCCCTCGCCCGCCCTCCTTCCCTGACAAATAATGATGTCAGAGTTAGGGGCTGGGAGCAAACTCCCAGCTCTGGCAAAGACGCAGGCAGGCAGCGAGGTTCATGGCCACAGAAAATGACAGGAGCAGGCCTAATAAATACAGGCCTGGACAGATTTAAAAAAAAAAAAAAAAGACCCCAGCAGGTTACTAGTATGGCTTCTGCTGTTCTTTTAAGGCAGGGACCAGGATACTTTTTCAGAGCCTCTGACCCACAGAAAAATCAGTCGGGGGCTGCACACAAGCCGGAAGTAAAAACAACCCCCCAAATCCTCACTGATGTGACCCCCCGACTGAGAAGGAAAAAGACCCTCCCCACATTCCCCTCACACACCAGAGGCTGGGAGGGAGCAGGCTAGTAGATTTTGTGTGCTCCAGCCCCGCGAGGGGGTAGCGGCAGGGCTGGAGCACCGGCACAGGCTCCTTAAGGCTGAAAGGTCGCCCTGAGGCTCGGGGGCCAGATCCAGGCAAGCCAGGGGGCCTTAGGTTCCCCACCCCTGTTCTAAGGGCCACTTCTTGGGAAGTCGGTGTCCACATAAGGAAAGCTGGCACTGTACAGTTTCAGAGCATGCAAGGCGGAATACCAACAGGCAGCCGGGGTTGAGTTTCTCCGGTGTGCACACTCGCACAGAGAGACCAAGGTGTTCGAAAGTGCAGAGCGGGTTTGGGTGTCATCATAGGGTAGCAGCCCAACCTGAGACCCCTGAAAGGGTCCCGCATTCAGGGACTCCAATCTCCTTAAAAGCTTACGCCAGTAATTGAGGCTCTCCTAATCTCTGGTCTTTTTTTTTTTTTTTTTGAAACTCTTGGCTTCTGGATCAGAAAGCCAGAAGGGGCCAGTCTGACCTCCTGTCTCCCCCCAGAACACCACCCCAAATCAATTCCTGTTTGAACCAGGGCCGCCCTTTTAGCAAACCAACCAGTCTCGCTTAAAAAATTGCCAGGAAAACCCATCAGGACCCGAGGGCTTTGAGGGTTAATTGCCCTTCCCTGTTAAAAACGGGCAACTCAGGTCTTGCCTGGATTTGTCTCGCTTCAACCTGCTGCCATTGGAGCAGGCTGGGCCTTTGCTGGGCTGAGGAGCCGCCCTTGGTTCTCAAACGCCCACGTAGATACAAAACAGTGATCCAGTGGCCACTGTCCCATTGTGGCGCTCAACAGACGGCGCCCTTTGGGCCTGTTGTTGCAAGGCAGGCTTTCCAAGCTGTTACTCATTCCCGCGGCTCTTCTCTGACTCCTCTGCAATGTATCCACATCCTTCCCGAATGCTGAGCATCAGCGCGAGGCCCAGAATTCCAGCAGCCATTGCCGTGTCGCGTGGGTGTGTATGGTGTGGGCTTGCATTGATCCGTACAAAAGAAGATAATGCACGCTCTTACATCCCTCAGGGCGCTCTGGTGTTGCCTCACCATGCTACACAACAGCACTAGTGAAATGCAGCCACCTCTGGGAGAAGCATCGGTGGCTTGGTGTACATCACAGGAAGAGGAGATTTTGGCTAAGGATCTCAGGACCAATCCAGCGTGCCCAGGGGGCAAAGAGGGGCAATTGCCCTGGGGTGGGGTAATTCTAAGGGGCCTGGGGCTCCTGGATGCTGCTACTGTGGCAGGGGCTATCAGCCCCAGGCCTGTTAGAATTGTGCTGCTGGCTTTGAGGGCCAGTGGGGGTGGGGGCGGAGGGGTGGGCCATCTGGGCAGTACTGGGGACTGGCTGCCCCAGCTCCGCCCCTTCCACCCAAAGCCTCACCCCTTCTGGGAGCAAAGAGCCCCCCTCCCCCCCCAATTACCCAGGGGCTGGATTATTGTGTTGGCTTTCCTGGAACCAACACTTGCCCTGAGGTAGTGTGGGGTGACTGTGACCCAGCTAATGAATGGCAGGTCACAGGAGAAAATTAGATGAGCCAACCAAGGGAGAGAGTTCATATAAGGAGCTGATGCCTTTTTACTCTGGGAGATAACAGGCACTAAAGGGGGGTGAGAAATTGCTAGCAATGGTCATTTTAGGATTGTTTAAACCATTTACCAAAGTGAATGCCACCTGCTGGGACTGTGTGGGGTGCGTGTGTGTGTGTGTAGGGGGCAACACAGCAGCCAGTTCTAAGCATCACCCTAATGAAGTGTCCCCCCTCCATCCCTTGTTGCGTCTGCATGATACCGTCCATCCCTCAGCCACAGAAACGTGGAGCTCGGTGTAGAGGTTGGTCTAGTTAACCCAGCTCGAAGATGTGGAAACTGAGTCACAGCCCACATGTGCCAGGTGTTCAGACCCCCGCCCGCTGCCCAAAGCACTAAGCCACCCTCCCACCTGCCAGATGGGAATGGAATCCAGCACTCCTGAGCCTCGGTCCCCTGAAATAGGCGCTGGAGGCTGCCCTGGAGGGAACCCAGGAGTCCTGACACCCAGACCCTCACTAGACCTGCTAGATCCACCCAAGCTGGGAGAAAACCCAGGAATCCTGAGGTCTGCCACAGCCCCCCACTCTCCAAGCCAGCCCTGCCCTACCCACCTCCCTAGCCTGCCGCCCTCACTGGGCCAGGCTGTCAACTTAGAGCTTGTGGCACTCACAAGCCTGGAGAAACCTCCTCGTTCAGAAACGGGCTGAGAATTTGGTGACCGTCCCTAAGCCGGTCCCAGCGCACCCCCCCATTGTTCGTGGAGCTGTCCGCGGTGCTGAAGCCAGGCCGGGCCTCCATGGAGCCGCCTGAAAACAGACACATGTATACACAGCCGAGGAACTACACGCATACACCCCCAGCTACACACACTGATGTGCGCACACACACTCACCAGCTACACACAGAGATGTGTGCACATACACCCAGCTACACACAGAGATGTGTGCACACACACCAGCTACACACAGAGATGTGTGCACACACACACCAGCTACATGCAGAGATGTGTGCACATACACCCAGCTACACACAGAGATGTGTGCACACACACACCAGCTACATGCAGAGATGTGTGCACATACACCCAGCTACACACAGAGATGTGTGCACATACACCCAACTACACACAGAGATGTGCACACACACACCAGCTACACACATAGATGTGTGCACATACACCCAGCTACACACAGAGATGTGCGCACACACACACCAGCTACACACAGAGATGTGTGCACACACACACCAGCTACACACATAGATGTGTGCACATACACCCAGCTACACACAGAGATGCGTGCATGCACACACAGGTAAACACACTGAGCTACACACACAGATGTGTGCACATCCTTCCCGGCTACACACGCAGATGTGTGCTTACACACAGCTACACACATAGATGTGCACACACACAGATGTGCATGCCCACACTCATAAACACATTGAGTTACACACCCAGATATGCACACACACATTAAATGACATAAAAAGATGTGTGCTAACACTGCTACACACATAGATGTGCATACACATATAAACACAGCTGCACAGACAGATGTGTGCACACACAGATACACACCCAAACACAGCTCTACACACACACAGCTACACACATAGATGTGCACCAACACAGCTATACACATACACACAGCTACACCCACAGATGTGCACTCAAACATACACACAGGGACAGACATGCAGCAACACACACGTATAAAGAAGCAATCCACACACACAGCAACAACACACACAAAGGTACACACACAGATTTGCAACAACTCCCAGACAGCTAGTGATACAGACACATGGCAACACACACATAAAGGAGATTTACACCCCCGAGACGTGTACATGCTGCAGACAGACACAGGATTTAAATCCTAATCAAATCATAGTAACAGAGGCAGAGAGACGCCCTGCTGGGAGCTGGCAGCTGTGGGAAGTGGGTTTCAGAGAAATGATCTGGGGCTTGTAGGCCTCCCTCGCTGGCTGCTACAAATACAAAGAAGGGGCCTTTTGGAAACGCAGGCAACAAACCAGCCAATCCCAAATAGCCCCCGATCATTTATTTTAAAGGGTCATAGCTCTCAATTCATCTCTGTTGAGTGACATCAGATCCATCCCCCAT